ATTTTAAGAAAGGAAAACTGTATTAAAATTGTAATACTCAATATATACCGATAACAAAAGATGAATACAAGTCACATTTGACTTCTGCAATTACAAAAGGTGCTCAAAGCGGTTGCCATCAGCGCCCAGACACTTCTGATTACAGTGAATTACTGCTTGAGCAACACTGACCAAAGTGTCCACTTGTGTACATTGTTTTGGCACCCCTGGTATATGGAATAGTACAAAATTTATTCATTTTTCTTTTGGCTTTAGTCACATTTTTTTGAGATTCATACATGTTGCATGTGGATATAAGTGTTGGGTTTGTTGAAATAAAAAACAAAGACCAGCCTTGAAAATTCCCAGGGCAGATAGAACTAGTTTAGTCTTACAAACAAAGCTTAATTTAGCTTATTTTGCAAGACTAACTTGACCTGGGTTTTTTCTTGCTTATGCCTCTGGAAATTAGTGAAACTTAAACTGTTTCCCAAGGTCGATATAAGGTAACCACTTAAAATTTTGATATTATCACCAATCACTGTGAAGAATAAACAGTCACTGGTTTCTCAGTATAAGCTGTTTTGTAACAATATGCACCTCAGTCTATTTCCATGTTTTGGTTTTAGTGCTCCCAATTTGGAAATTGTCTTTTTTTTTTTTAAGATTTTTATTGGGGAATTGGGGGATGAGAACAGAGCTGGGGAATTGGGGAGGGGGAACAGACAAGTTGCTGTCGTTTTGGAAATTGTCTTTTTGATGCTTGAACAATAAAATTTTACTAATTAGTACTTCAGTGACTTATTGGTTTTACTTGTTATTTCTGAACATTTGAAGTTAATGGTGTCATAAATGGGATCCAAAGAAGACCCATCCGGTGACTGAGACCGGTGAGCACCCAAGTACTGATGCCTCCTTCAGCGTGATGCCTCCTTGCTGACCTTGGAGTTTTACGGTAAGTCTCTCTTGGATCTGATCTCTGCTCTCTTTGTGTTCTGAGCTCTCAAACTTTATTGTGCACACTTGATTTCAGTTTTCTCTTTTTGTTACAGCTTCTGGGTAAGTCACCCTATTCTGTTCAAAAGGAACGAAAATATGTGATTCCCTGTGTTTTAGAACAGCTGTTGGAAAACACCCATCGTAGTTAAGATGTCTTAGGGAATCTAAAGGCAAATATGGGTACCACCTGGTTTTTGGACAAGAGCTTGTGCCTTTCTGGTACAATGGATGAACCTGTGGAATTACAGTGGCAATTTTGGGGACCTTTATTTAGGTAAGTTCACTTGAAAGGGTACCCTTAAAAGAAAAGATTGCAGATTGCTCAGAGGCAGTGAAATGTATTCTTTGATTGGTATGCAGAAGCTTCTAAATGACAAAGTGCCTTAAAAAACAGCCCTAAAAAGATCCTTACAGTATGCAAATAAAAAAATCTTTAGTAAAAAACTTCGGTCATTTGAGCAGGTCATTTTACCTAATCCATCTGCCAGAAACAATTTGGATCCAACTGTTCTGAGTTTTGTGCCTGAGACATGGCTAAAAGTTTTAAAACAAAAGCTATTAAAATCTCTGTTCGTCTGTATGTTTATGTGTGTCTAAGTATGTGTGTTATAGATATGTGATATTTTTCTGCCTCCAGATTGTATTGCCAAAATTAAATTGTAAAGAGCTCTATTTAATGGACTTAAGAAAATCAAGCATACTTTCAATAACACAGAAACTAACCCAAATGGTTTTTAAGTTCACATGATCTTTAATAAATAAAAGCTAGTTTAAGTTTGTTGGTTTAATAAAAGCAGGTATATCTTCAAATTTTGCCAACAAGAAAACTAAAGATAATGGTTAACTGTTTAATATCTAATCCAAGCATAATTGTTAAAAATAAGCAATTTAAGTAAATGTAAATGAGATCAAAGTTTATACTAAGTTAAACTAAATAGTGGATATTCATTAACTATCTAGATGATTTCCAAATAAGATAAGCATTAAATGCTAAATATAAGTTTATCTTCTTCTGGCTTTTTAATTTTTTACAGAGAGAAGATCTTTGGGTCTATTGATAAACATGTTTTCTGCCACATTGAAGAATTATTGAAGAATATACTTCTAAAAATTTTGAACTGTATTTATAAGTTTGCTAGTCTACTACAGAATGCTAGTACATGATAGGCAGTTCGCAATTGCCTGCTTCCTGGTTTTCACTGGATAGCAAAGATTACAAAAGCTCAATATATAAAAATAAAAATACTAGAAATAATAAAAGGGAAAGAAAATGACTATATATGAAAAGTAGGTAAGGAAACTAGAATGTGTTTTCAGAACAATACATAAAGGACATTTTTTTGTGTGTGAAAGAAAAAAGTAATTTTTTTTCTAGAGTAAAATGATTGTTCAAGAATAAGAAAAGAAAAAGATAGGACCAAACCTAAATGGATATAGTAAGATGTAGAAGGTTTGTGGAAAAACAATTTTGAGAATAAAATTTTATTTGTAGTCAAGCTAAGATCGCAATGGATTAATTTAAGTTAAAAAGAAGAAAGGGAGTGATATCAGCATTTTGGCAATGTGAGCCATTCCCTTTGTCGTACCCCCCCTTCACAAGTTATAACCAGAAGGATATCCATTTCTCAACAAAAGTTCCTCTACACATGCACACCAGGAAGCCTGAGAGATCCGTACATCTGTACATCTGAAGGTGGGTGGATTGGACCTAGTGGAGGGTTAACCAGAGGGGCAGTGGCAGCAGAGCCTGTGACTAGAGTACCCAGGAACCGTGGAGGCACCTGAAACCAGAGGGTCAGTCATGGCAGCAACACTTGTGTCCCGAGTGACCCCCTCCCCCACCACAGCAACACCTGTGACCCCCCTCCCCTGCAGTGGCAGCAGCACCTGTGTACTGAGATTCCAGGAACCAGAGGCCTCAAATGCTGGCTTTCAGATATAAGGTAGGAGAAACCAAAAACTTAAGTTACAGCGCCAACTACTGGAAAACAGAAGAAAGGCCTTTAATTGCCAACCTGTTGAAATATAAGAATCAAGATAAACAACCCCCCCCCCAAAATAGGTAAACAAAACCCTACCTAAATAAGAAAAGTGTTCGTTACTTCAAATGCTCCAGCAGAAAAACTCTAAAAACACCATTAAAAATTACAGTAACATAATTCATAATTTCACAAAAAGAAAATGACAGTTCTCAAGGAACCAAACTTAAAGTCTGGGAGATTGCGATCTAACTGACAGAGAATTCAAAATAGCTGTCATGAAGGAACTCATTGAGCTACAGGAAAACTCAGAAAGACAGTTCAGTGAGCTCATGAGTAAAATTAATGAACAGAAGGAGTACTTGACCAAAGAGATTGAAGCTCTAATAGAAACCAAACAAGAATTGGAGCTGGAGCTGAAGAATTTAGTAGATGAGATTAAGGATGAAATCTTGCTTTTTGTGACAACATGGATGGACCTACAGAGCATTACACTAGGTAAGTCAGAGAAAGACAAATACAATAATGTATGATTTCACTTATATGTGCAATATAAACAAAACAAACAGACAAACAAAACAGAAATAGACTCATAGATACAGAGAATAAACTGATGGTTTCCGGGGTGGGGTGGGGTGGGTGGGGAAGGTGTCGGGGAATAAGAGATACAAACTTCCAGTTATACAATAAATAAACCACAGGGACATAGTATACAACACAGGGAACATAGTCAATAATACAATAACTGCACAGTGACAGGTAGTTATTAGTCTTATTCGTATGATCACATCATAAAGTGTGTATACATGTGGAATCTAAGTTGTACACGTGAAACTAATATTGTATGCCAAGTATACTTTAATAAAACTTTTTTTAAAACGTTGGCAAACATTTGTTAGATTTAATTAAAATATCTTCAAAAAGAGTTTTGGTATTCAGTATACTGATGAAAATCTAGAATTTTTGTTTTCTTTCTACTAAAATGACAATTTTGTTGAAGTATTGGCCTACTGTCTTAATTTACAGTTTATAAATTGTGATATTCACATAACAGAATTAACCATTTTAAAGTGAAAATTATAGTGGAATTTAGTTCATTTATAATGTGCAGCCGTTACCACTGTGTTCCAGAACATTGTCCTCAATAAAAAAAGAGAGCCTTTGGTCACAGCCCCATTTTCCTCCAACCATTAATCACCTTTCTATGTAATGAATTTACCTATCCTGGATACTTCACATGAGTGGGATCATATAATATATATAGCCTTATGTGCTTGGTTTCTTTTACTTAGAATACAGTTTTCAAGGTTCATTCAGGTTTTATATCATGTATCAGTACTTCATTCCTTTATAATGAATGGACAGTCTTACATTGTATGGATTTACCACATACATTGTTTGCCATTCATCTGTGAATGGATGACAGTTGTGATGTTTTCTACCTTTGGGCTATTGTAAATAGTGCTAGCATGAACATTTGTATACAAGTTTTTGTTTGAATGGTTTTTAAATTCTTTGGGCTATGTATCTGTCAGTGGAATTGCTGGGTCATGTGATAATTCTATGTTTAACTTTTGAGGAACACAAACTCACAATAGAAAGAAGAGTGTTGAAAATTATAATTATCTGAGTAAATAGAAAAGACAATTTTTTCTCCTTGCTTGTTACCTTTAATTTTTTTATGAGTCACAACTAATTACAACAACAATTATAATGTTCACTTGTGGAATTTATCTTTTTTTTAAGTAAAAAAATGTAACAGCTGTAACATCACTGAGGGGAGATGTCAAGCATATAAACCTATACAGTCCCAAGGTTTCCATTTTTTACATTAAATGGTATAATGTTAACTATAAGTGAGTTGTCAAATGTTTAGAATATACAGAGGGTGCCAAAAAAATGTATACACATTTTAAGAAAGAAAAAAAAACTATTAAAACTGTAATACTCAATACATATCGATAACAAAAGATGACTACAAGTCATGCTTGACTTCTGCAATGACAAGAGGTGCTCAGAGTGGTTCCCATCAGCATCCAGACCCTTCTGATTACAGCGCACTACTGCTTGAGCAACGTTGACCAAAGTGTCCACTTGTGTACATTGTTTTGGCACCCCCTGTATATTGTAATCCTTAGGGGAACATTAAGATATTTAAAATAAAACACCCGAAGGTAAATTAAGTAATGCTAGAACATATTCAAATAATCTAAGTAAACGAAGAGGAGGAGAAACAGAGGGAAAAAACAGAGGAGACATGTAGAAAAGAAATATTAAGATTGTGGGAAGATATCGGATCATATCAGGCATTAAACATTAATGGGTAATAAGTTTGTGTCCTTTAAGCCACTAATTTGTGGTAATTTCTTAGAGTAGCAATAGGAAATTAATGCAACTGATATCAATGAACAAATTTAAATCGGTAATAAAATTCTTCCTACAAAGGAAAGTCCAGATCCAGGCGACTTCGCTGGTGAATTATATAAAAGATTTAAATAAGAAAAATTAACAATCCTACACAAAGTATTAGAAAATAGGGGAGGTGGGAACACTTAGCAACCCATTTCATGAGGTGTTTATTACTCTGATACCAAAATCAAGCAAACACATCACACAAGATTATAGAACTACAGACCAATATCCTTGATGAACAGTGATGTAGAATTCCTTAATGAAAATTTAGTAAGTTGTATGGAATAGCATATACAAAGCATAATTCATCATGGCCAAGTGGAATTTATGGCAATAATTAAAGTTTAGTTTAACATTTGATAATTAGTTGTAATTTACTATATCGGAGAAAGATCTCGTAAGAGAATACAGACTCCACTCTGTCTCTTTCACAAAATGCAAATTGAAAGCCTGTAGGTAATGCATGAAGCAGTTAACTAAAGAAAGGCTCAGAAATTTTATAATAGTGGGCAAATACGGGAAGGAGGCCAGAAATCAAAGTACAACTGATTTATCACCAAGGTTTGTGGTTTTATTTTCTACCATAATTCAGTCTGGGCACAAATGCAGTCTAAATCTCTGAAATACACACTGTGTAGGTAGAAATGGCTCTAAGAGGTGACTTCTTTTTCTGGTCTGGGTGGGAAGAAGAGTCCCTATGGGACAGAGTAGGAAAAATCCCTTATTTTTTGTCTTAGTCTCTCCTACCTCAGCTATCAGACAAGCCCCAATTCAAAAGCTAAAATGGTGGTGTTCTGGTGTTGATATAATTGGCTGCCAGTAAGCTCCTAAAATGGAGGAAATTGAATCCTTCTGTATGAATAAAGAAGTTGTGGTCCAAACAGCATTGGGAGAATACTTGTTCCTATGTTTTTTTACCAATCGTTTGGTTGCTTGGGCTCCAGAGGCATACTCAGGAGTATAAACTCTGTGAAATGGCAGGTGATCAAGCCTGGGCTCTGTAGCTAGAGGAACAAGAAAGAGGGGAGGGGGCCCTCCAATCCAGGGAGTGTTAGGGAGCTCGAGGAAAGCAGGCAACTTGAGAGATCACATACAATTATGTATGAACTTCTGGGCTTACCCTGAGTGTGGCGGCTGTGACCCTAAAACAGCACACCAAACTTTTTGAGAACTATCAGCGTGCTTTACAATAAATGGAACTTGTGTCTTGAACTTAAATGGGTCATTTTTTTGGGTAAAAAAAAAACATTCTACATAAGATTTTAACAATGCTAAGTGTCTCATAACAAAACATTTCAAATACCCAGAATACATTCCATAATTACGCAGCATACAAACCAGGAACATCTCAACAATTCAAGCAAAGATACTCAGCGGATGGTAAAAGTGAGATGGCTGATACTGAAATTATCACACATAGCAGAATTTAAATGAGAGAGTAAAAAAGTCAGTGAAGTCAAAGAAAAAAGACCAAGAGCAATTATCCAGTCTGAACAGACAGAAGAAATATTGAAAAAAATTGAAGAGAGATTCAGGAACCTGTAGAATAATAATAAAAGTTCTACAAGTTGTGAATTGACGTTCAGAAGAAGAGGAGAAACAGGGCGGGGCACAAAAATATTTAAAGAAATATAAAAAAGCTTAACAAATTTGTTGAAAGATCTGAATGCAGATTCAAGAAGCACAGGATGCTTGAAACTGAATAAGCTTTAAAAGAAATTACACCCAGACATATCATAATTAAACTGCTGAAAACCAAAGACAAAATCTGAAGTAAGATAAAGAAAAATGATGCATTACATATAGCAAAACAAGATTGCTGGATTCCTTATCAGAGACCATGGAAACCAGAAGACAGAAGAAGAGCATTTTTACAACGCTTAAAGAAATGTCAGACAATTTACATATATATATATATAGAGAGAGAGAGAGAGAGAGAGAGAGAGATTATTTGAGCCAAACTGATGACAATTGCCGGGAAGCAAAATCTCAATGGATTGAGATTTGCTCCCTCAGACAAGAATTTCATATGCAGCACAAATATCCTTTAGGAAGGAAAGCTAAATAAAGATGTTTTGAGATAAAGTAAAACTAAGAGCATTTGTGGTCAGCAAACCTGTGAAAAAAAAAATGTTAAAGTTATGACAGAAGAGAAATGATCCTAAAGGGAAACTTGGAATGTCAGGAATAAAAGAAATTTCAAAATGTCAAATACTGGTGTAAACATAATAGCATATTTTGTGCATTTATTATGATTCAAAGCAAAAAACATTGGTGGAGTTTTCCTTGTATAGGGATGTCATGTATATGACTAATATAAAGAGAAGGGTCTTTCACCATTTTTATTCAACATAGTACTGGAAGTCCTAGCCACAGCATTTAGACAAAAATAGAAATAAAAGGCATCCAAATTGGAAAGGAAAAAGGAAAACAATCACTATTCACAGGTGACATGATATAAAACCCTAAAGACTTCTAAAAAAAAATCAAACTAATATTGAATTCAGTAAAGTTGCAGGATAGAAAATGTACAGAAATCAGTGGCATTTCTATACACTTAATTATCAGAAAGAGTAATTCAGGGGGAAAATGTCATTTGCGATTGCATCATAAAAAAGTAAAATACCTAGAAATAAATTTAACCAAGGTGGCAAAAGACCTGTACTGTGAAAACTATAAGACACTGAAAGAAATTGAAGATGACCCATAAATGTGCTCATGGATTGGAAGAATTAATATCATTAAAATGTCCATACTACCCAAAGCAATCTACAGATTCAATACATTCCCTATCAAGACACCAATGGCATTTTTCACAGCAGTAGAACAAATAATCCTAAAATTGGTATGGAACCACAAAAGATCCCGAATAGCCAATCTTGAGAAAGAAGAACAAAACTGAAGGTAACATGCTCCGTGATTTCAAGCCATACTCCAAGGCTATAGTAATTCAAACAGCATGGTACTGGCAGAAAAACAGACCCAGAACAGCGGAACAGACTGCAAAGCCAGAAACTAACCCATGCTTTAATGGTTAATCTATGGCGTAGGAGGCATGAGGAAAAGGCAGTCTCCTTTATTACATGGTGTTGGGGAAACTG